CCTTCACCTAACTAACTTGCAAATACCATGACATATCACTAAGACTAGATAATTCTTTGAATGAGGGTTCTGCCCTACAACGGTTGGACTCAAACAAGAGCTGCAAAATAGGGCTAAACCTAACCTTCTGAAATTATTCTATCCTCACAATATGTAATGTAACGTATTCGTTTATTAGTTAAGTAAAGATAACTAGAACTCCTATTAGCATAAAGCAAGCAGCATTCGGGCGTTAAGTAATCAAATCAAACTTACTCTATCCAACCTATCTTATAACTAACTAATCAGTATTATCTTGCAGCTCAATAAACACATATAACAGGCATATCAGGCATCTTCCTAGATCCTTAGCCCTAATCTAGTTCTCATGTACAACAATAGGCATATAAGGCATCATTCCTAGATCCTTAGCCCTAATCTAGCATGCAATTCTCATATACAAATCATATCGTAACATAACATGTATGGGTATCTTGGGGAAAACTTACTTGAGCTCGGCCGGTCACGCACATCACACATCTTGTTCTTTTTCAAAGTTCTTTTCTCTTTTCAACCTCTTTTCATAAAAATGATTTTCCTTTTGAAAAATTTCATACCAAGTCCTCAGTTTGAGTTCAGACATACCCGAGAGTGTATCCGAATCCCTCAAACTAAGACTATGATATCAACTTGTAACATCCCAAATTTCAAGACCAAAAATTTCCTTTTTTTTAATATAAAAATTTAGAAAACATTTATAAGAAAACATCATTGAGTCATATCATTTCATAAAACCATAATCTCATGTTTCAAAATCATATCATAAAAACAGTAACAATGTCAGAGTACAATCCCAAGAAAATCTCATAGTGCGGAATCCTGCGTGTGTGTGATGTGCCGCTACCGTGCCGGCTCCTTCCCCTTCGCTGAAGAGGTACCTGAAACAGAACTGAAAATTATAAGCACGAAGCTTAGTGAGTTCCCCCACATACCATACAATCTCATAACAAAACATACTGCCAGGCAATTCTGGGGTGCCCGACCTACCCGGACCGGCCATTATGGGGTGCCGACCTACCCGTGTCAAGCCATTCTGGGGTGCCGACCTACCCGTGTCAAGCCATTCTAGGGTGCTGACCTACCCGTCGGTCCTAACAACCGAACCCTGGGGACTATCTTACCCCCTGCTACTACTACCACATATACCATAACATAACATACTGCCAGGCATATCTGGGGTGCCCGACCTACCCTTCGGTCCTAACAACCGAACTTGGGGACTATTCCCTCCCTACTACCACTATCACATATAGCATATCATGCTAGCACATAAACATATCAGGTAGTAGCAAACCTAGATGAATATCACAAAGACAATCACCTAACATACAACTCCTACTAGTGGGCCGACATTGTGGCCGTAGACTCACCGCTACTGGAAGGTAACTCACCTCGATGTCGCGTAGTATCTGCACGGTCCTCGGCACGGGAATCGACTCGTCTCTACTCCCCAATCCCTACACAACAACCTTTTCCGATTACTATTGCATACTCATAACCCTTATAAGGATCAATCCAAATCCAAGTCAAAGTCAAGGTCAAACCCTGGTCAAAGTCAACATCCAGTTGACTTGACTCGCTGAGTTGGTCCACCAACTCGTCGAGTCCCTATCCTTTCAAAATGATACAACCCCCGACTCTACTCGTCGAGTCTAGCAAGAACTCGACGAGTTCACCTTCAACCATAACATCGGGACCATCTTCAACCGACTCGCCGAGTTCATCCTTGAACTCGTCGAGTTCATCTTCATCATATGAATGTGTCCAGTTTATGACTCGCCGAGTTCTATGAACAACTCGTCGAGTCCTTCTTCATGAGTTGGGAGATTGCCTTGGACTCGCCGAGTCTGCTCATACACTCGCCGAGTCCTATGATTTCCAGGTCCAAGACAAACCCCTAGCAGATTGAGTGTTCCCTCAACTCAATCAAAACCATTTCTAGAAGACGTTTTGGGGGAAAAGCGTCCCGACTCGCCGAGTCACCCAAGTGACTCGCCGAGTCCTTCTTTGTCCAAAACTATACAGTCGATTATAATGGGTCTTAACGCGTCAAAACCATAGATCTGGCCTCCTAGGGTCCATTTTATACGTAAAGCTTCAAGCTTGATATACATGCATGGGGCCTTTGGCTCAAAAAGCCATAAAAGGAGGTCTACAAGATGCATGGGGTGTTTATGGCAACAAAGTTGGCACCTTTATGCCATAAAGACCCCCAATAGCCCCAGATCCGAAGTGCAACTCTAAGCATATCCACAAAATCTGATTTTTGCTTCTCTATACTCATAAAAAGGGTAGAAATAGCCCCAAATCAAAATCTAAGAGATAAATGGTCAAGGTTCCTTGCTTCTACTTGAACTCCCAAGCTTCCTTCTCTTCTCCAACTTCAAACATACACAAAGAGGGCACCACAAGATCAAGAACACTCAATAATGGTTAGGGTTTCGAGTTAGGGTTTTCTGGAAGTGAGAGGGACGATGGAGGCTGGTTTGGGACGAGTTAAGTTGTTTAAATAGAGTGCAAACCCTAAATATTAGGGTTTTGTCCAGACAGCTCCTACTCGTCTAGTCGGTCTCCCGACTCGTCGAGTAGGTCACTTAAACCCTCGATCAAAATCGAGTCTACTCGAAGAGTTGGGCCTCCAACTCACCGAGGCCCATAGTAAATTGCAACATTTCTTGAATTTAAATACGTACAAGAAATCGGGTGCTACATTTTAAAACAATCGTGATAAGTTCGTTGGCAAATATGACATTTTTCCTAATAAAAATTAGGTCATGTACAACTGTACATTTTACCGCCTCAACACCCCTAGTAACATAATCGATCATATGTTCTAATAACATTTAATGCTTTTACATACAAAAAGATCATTGGTATGGCATCATCAAGTATTAGGAAATGTGCTCTCAAAATGTTTTTTTTTTAAGGTTTAAGGGGGTTTTTCAATGTTGTTCAGTAGGATACTAGTTTAATCAAGCTTATTATTTAAGTTGACTAAAATATGGATAAAATATGATTTAAAGGATGTATAAGCTTTATAAATTTTAGAATCATATTGAAAAATCAATTATTTATAAAAGAGTAAATTAAAGAAATGGTCCTTATGGTTTGTTCCAAGTCGCAGGTTTAGTCCAACCTTTGAGAATTTGATAGGAGCCGTCCTCATGGTTTACATAAATTGCACCCATGTCCTGTGGTTTAGGAGAAATTACACCATTGGTCCCTCCATCAATATTAAAAGACTACTTTACTCTTTCTAATTCCTTTTTTCTTTTTCCTTTTTTCACTCTTTTTATATTTATTAAATATAAAACCATAAGGAGCCACCACCCCACCCACCCACCCCATCTCTCTCTCTCTCTCTCTCTCTCTCTCTCTCTCTCTCTCTCTCTCTCTCTCTTCGCCAACTACCAGCCTGTGACCACCATTTGCCACCACCATCCGCTGCAAACCACCCCCTTCTCCCCTACCCTCACCCCATCTCTTTCCTTATCCTAATGAAACTTCACCTCCAGCCACCACACCACCGTTCGATCCACACCGTCCTCCGCTAACCAGACGCCTCTCCCTCTCAAATCTAATAGTGAAAATCTCGTCGGCCCTACAATATCCACTATAGTCACCGACTGGCGAACCACCACCTCACCACTCGTCATCGTTGTGGTCTGTTAAAGCTACCGTCAAAGCTAGGGTTTGAAGAATTGATCCAGACACAAAAACCCCTAGCCTAATGTTGCCCTAAAAAATGTTCCTCCAATATTGTAGATTTTTGTAGATCTAAACCACCAACGGAGGATAAGATGGCGCTGGTGGTGGTTTTCGACGAAATAGTAGAGAGATAGAGAGAAAGAGAGAGAGTGTGTGTGTATGTGTGTGTGTGTGAGAGAGAGATATTCTAGGAAGAGGGATGCGGGTTGAGGTAGAGTTTTTGGCTAAACACAAGCAGATCCGGTGGTGGCAGTGGTCTGATGATGTAGAGATGGTTGTGGTTCGTCGCCGACTGCGGTGGTCCAATGGTGGTGTCTGGCAGCAGGAAAGTGAGAAAAAAGAAGATAAAGTAAGGAGTGGAAGAGTTAGTAGGAGGTAAGTTGGTGTAACTAAGGAGGGGAGGGTGGGGTGGGTGAGTTTTTTCTTTTTTTGTATCTATTTTAATTAAAATAATATAAAAACAATTAAAAGAAGTTAAAAAAGAAATGCTTAAGGCTAAAAAAGTTTTTTTATATGGATAAGGGACGTACATTGTAATTTCTTTAAACCATAGGGATGAGTCTTGTCCATTTTTCAAAAGTTGGACCAAAAGTATGAAAATGACCAAACCATAGGGACCAAAACCGTAATTTACTCTTTGTAAAATCCTACAAACATATACAACAACAAAAAACAAAACTGCACACCACCATACCGGTTACCCAAATAAAACATACAAATGTATTTTTTTTACAAGTGGCTATAGATAAATTAATTAGATTCAATTGAAAGACAAATGTACAAACAGAGCAGCGAAGAATACAACAAATTACAGCAGCGGATTACATAGTTATTCTCTTTCATTGTTTCTTATTCTATCGTATATTCATTTTTATTATATTATATAAAATAGGAAACATAAAAATATAAATATAAACGATAATCTTTTTGTTTTTGTTGTTATATATTTTGTCTTCATACATGATGCCAACACCGAATACGACACATCTCTCCCCCACCTTTTTCTCCTTTTCACACTTGCCCTCATATCTCCCACAACAAGACAACCCCCCAAACACCGCCGTGGAAAATGGCGGACAAGTCGTCGGACCTACCAAACATCCATCCTTCGCCACCGCAGATCAGCCGTATACAACATCAGATCTACTATTTCATACTACAAAATTACAAAAAAACAAACAAATAAAAAAAAACGAAATTCAAACGACGAATCAACGATTTCTTTTGATCATTACAGTCAGATTTCCACGGATTTATACGCTTCGGTTATTGTAATTTAACTTTTCAAAGTAACGAATCGAGAGAAGAGACAGAGATAGCTGGATCTCGTCTTTTCCCCAACGAGTTTTCGCGGTGGTAGATTTCGCCGGAACGATCGCACGCGGTGGTGGTGGTGGAAGACACGGCCACGCAGATGATGATGTCGCGGCGGCGACGGTGGAAGAAGACGATGAAGTTGCGACGGAAATGGAAGGCTTAGATAACGGCAATAAGTAATTAGAATGGAGACATCGGAAGCCACCGAGTGCAAGGACCACCAAACGGAGCTGGTTGCTACCGCATCCGATATTTGCCCAGTGTCTGGTGCAGATCAGCTCCCATAGCCTCTCATCCTGAGCCGTCCGGTGCCACTGCCGACTGACGCACGCCGCCGCGCCTAACGTCTTTGCATCCACATGCTTCAACACCTCATACAGCAAATTTTCGTCATTGAGAACAGCGGTGGCGCTGGCGGAAGAGGAGGAAGATGGCTTGATCTTCTTGTTGTTCATGTTCTTCCGATGGTGAAAATGATCAACAGGTAATGATCTCTTGAGCATGTTGATTTTTTGTTGTGGATTTTGAGAGGAAAAATGAGGGTTTAAAAGATATGGGGGTATCCACCAGGTTTTGATGGTTAACGAAACGGACAACATGAGAAATGAATGCACTTTGGGTGTTTCGAGAAACTTACTATTATGTCCTTTCTTCATTTCTTTGTTGTTTTCTACGTATTTGTCTGTTTCTGCCAAATGTCAAATTAACCATCGCTGGACAAACAAATGGAGTATTACTTTTCCTTTTTTATTTATTTAAAAAAAAAACATAAAACAAATCTATTTAGTTTATTGTTTTATTTAGATTTAGAATTTAAACTAGATTTTAGAATCAATATAAAAAAATCAAAAATTACTTCATAGTCTCGTCACCCATTATGTCATGTGACATCAGTATTTCATGCAAAAAAAATTACGATTTACGAAATCTTAAAAGAATTATATTTGGTCATATGTGTCTCAACTAACTTGTTTGTTTTTATAATATATAATTATATATAATCATCAAAACTTTATTTTAAAGCTTTGTATGATAAGTTTTTGTCTTGTAGCAAACAAATTCAAATGGGTTCCACTTTAGACAACATCGTTGTAAAACAAGGTTTGTTAATTATTTTTCTTATAATGGGGATTAATCTTATAAAATGGTCCACGCCATCATGAGTGAGGGATAAAATCAAACTTTACATGTTTGAACTGAAAATAAGAATACCACTACCATATGGTCCATTATTTTATTCATAATATTATATATTTAGTTTATTTATGGTCCTAAGGTAGAGGCAGGATATTGAAAAATGAAAAAGAAAAAGGAAACATCCATAAAAATGAATTTATGATGTTATTCAAGTTTTTTACCAACAATACGCAACTAGTCAATTGCTAGTTGCGAAATACGCAAAACGTGGTACTGGACCAGATTTAAATGCGTATCTTGTAACATTTCACTGTACCTTGCAAATCGGTTTTGAATTTTCTCTAGGAATACAACCTCCCAATTCTGATAGTCACACAAGTCACAAAAGGCAAAAATAATAATAAGAAAAATAATAACAATAATAATAATAATAATAATAATAATAATAACACAAGGTTCAAAGATGTGAATATTCTGGTAGTTTACCATACAATCTGAAATATGGTGATTGATTCTTGAGTAATTCAGAAGGTGTTCTATTGATGAGATAAGAGGTTCTATTGATGAGATAAGAGGCTGTAAGAACACATTCATGCCAAAATTGATCTGGTACTGTAGCTTGAAACATTAGAGCCCTTGCAACATTTAATAAATGTTGGTGTTTGCGTTCAACAACTGCATTTTGTTCAGGTCTAGCAACACATGAATGTTGATGTAAAATGCCCTTCTCATGAAAGAAAGATTGAAAATATAATTCTTTTGCATTATCTGAACGAAATTTCTTTATGCTCTTATTGAATTGATTAAAAATCATGTTGTAGAATCTTGGAATAACTTGTTGAACATCTAACTTGTTTTTAATGAGAAAAATCCATGTATATCTAGTGTAGTCATCCACAATTGTTACAAAATAACGAAATCCTTGAGGACTAGGTATATGAAACGGACCCCATATATCACAATGGATCAAATCAAACGATTCATTACACATATGATTCATAGAAACAAATGGTAATTTCTTCTGTTTAGCAAGAGGACAAACTGAACAATGAAATGGAGAAGAATTTAACAGCTACATGACCCAATTGATCTTTAACAGATACAATTCGTTTATTTGAAGGATGACCTAATCTTTTATGCCATATATCTAATGAAACTGCATTAATATTTTGATTTGTACATGCTCCAACTTGGTTCAAGATGTACAAATCATGCACTTTGTCAGCCCTGCCAATCATCTTCTTGAGCTGAGTATCCTGAATAAAAGCATGATCACAAGTAAACTGGATCATCAATTGTTGTGCCTTTGTAAGAGAGCTCACTGATATCAGGTTGAGATTGAAATTTGGAACATATAAAACATCTTTGAGAACAAATAGATGATCAATTTTAACATTCCCAATAATGTGAACTGGAAGAACCATTTTATTTGGCAAAGTCACAGTATAATTGTTGACCTTTCTTTTGTTGAAGAACATGTCAAGATTATGACAAATATGTTGAGTAGCACCAGAATCTATAACCCAAACTTAAGAGTGATTACCATTATGAACAGATAAAGAAAAGAATTTACCTGTAGTAGTCTCCTCATTTGGATTAACAGATATCATGTGACTTGAAAGAGCAGACATCAAGTGTTGGCACTGAGCTGGAGTGAATCCTTGAAACATATCATTTAAGGACTGATTAGTTTGACTTTCACCATGGTCAACAGCAGCAACAGTGTGATTGACTTTTCCTTTTGACTTGTATCCAGGTGGATAACCATGTATTTTGTAACACTTATCAACTGTATGCCCTTGAATCTTGCAATTAGAACAAAAAGGACGATCTCTGCGAACATTGGTTGAAACTTGCTTGCGATTATTCGATTTAGCAAGAAATGTCATTGAATTGTTGTTTTGAGTATCATTAGAAATTGATTTTTGTTTCTCTTCTTGAGCCACCAATGAGAAAACACGGTTGATAGCTGGTAATGGATCCATTAACAATATTTGTCCCCTAGTTTGAGAAAACGAATCATTTAATCCCATTAAGAAATTCATCACATGTTCTGTTTTGAAGTATTCCTCTATCTTCTTCACACCTTCACAATCACATTTTCCACAAGAACAATGAGGCCGATAATTGGACAATTCTTCTGATAGAGATTTGAGTTTGGTGAAATAAACACCAACTGGATCTTGATTTTGAGTGAGATTCGTTATTTCTCTCCGAATCTGAAAAACACGAGGACCATTGCTTTGTTGAAATCGATCCTTAAGATCGTTCCAAATATCGAAAGCAGATTCTGAGAACATGATACTAGCAGAGATTTCCTTTGAAACAGAATTAAGAATCCATGATATGACTAGATTATTGTTACGCATCCATGAATTATACATCACAACATCAGAAGAATTTGGTTTAGGAAGCGATCCATCAATAAAACCGACTTTATTCTTGACAGATAATGCGATTAACATAGATTGACTCCAAGAAGGATAGTTCTCACCTATCAATGGTTGAGAAACCAAAACAAAACCAGGATTATCTGAGTGATGAAGATAATACGGATGTAAACGATCGTCAATCGGAGACACTGTTGAACCAGATGAATTAGATCCAGAATTTCCAGCAGTCGACATTGGAATAGATGAATCGATATAAGGAAACGATAATCTGAACAATCGAGAAAGAAATTGAAGACTGTTCTAAAAACGATTCAAAGAAAAAATGATGAAATTTCAAGAACAAACAGCGGAATTCGAGCGATTCTGCTCTGATACCATATTACATGAACAAGAAATAGAAAGAACGAATATTCTTCATTACTAAATCTGATTACATCCCTTTTCTATATATACAGCAAGAGTAAAATACGAAATAGAATAACTTGTATTGTAAAATTACTAATCTGCCCTTCTCATTCTCTAATAAATAATAATAATAATAATAACACAATTTTCTTAACTAGTGTGCTTAATCATCATATATTCATAGAAATAGGTTTTTGGAGAGTAAAACAACCTACAAGGCATTGCAAATGACTTTTGCAATGTGTACAATTTGGATCCCTAAAATGAGTATAAAGCATGAAATATGAGTTGTAGATTGCCTAAACTTAGTATAAAGCATGAAATAGGACAAGTTAGACAACTTTTTCTATTTTAATAATTTTGTGAAAGTAGATTGCCTAAAATAAGTATAAGGATTGAAATATGAGATCTGTGGCAATCTAAGCATTGTTGTAAATTTTGAAACGTGTTATGTGATACAAATTACTTGAAAGTCGTCATGATTATACATGAAAACACCTTATAATGAAAAAAATACAATATCTAATAGTAAAAAATATCATTAAACTTTATAAAGAAATGAGCTAAATGTTGGTTAAAATCACCACCATACCAATGTTTGAAAATATGTGTCTCCTCTAAAGGGTTGATGATTCAAGTCTTATTGTGGACAAAAAGATTAATTTATAAGTAATATTTAGTGAGTGTGTGTTAGTCGTTCAAAAAAAATGTTGATTAAATACAAGGTTCTAAATTGTGTGACGTGGCTACAAGGTTAGGCCTCAAGCTTTAGGATATATGATTTTTTTCAAAACTTGACTTAAAACGATAATTTTATATACATAAAAAAGAGAAAACATATAATTATAGATTAATAACAAATATTTCAAGTTTTTAGAAGTGTTATATCAACACCTAATATAAAAAAGTTGACAAAAACTCAATGGTTACATGCCCGATCAGAAAAAGCTAAAAAATTTACCTTTGAAAAAAAACTTGTGTCGTGCCATAACGCACAAACGCACCTAGTCAAGCCTTTTTCGGAGACCACGCCAAACACTTTACTATGCTTGTTTTTCAAATTGCTAATATTTCCCATAAAAAAGACATTTCATTCAATAATGACAATATATATACAACGTATGAGAAAACTAGAAAAGGGCCAAACATAAATGGGCTGACTATATTGAGACAATGATATCCTTTGTGATTTGTTGGATAGCCAAGAAAGATACATGGAGTTGATCTTGGAGATAGTTTATGAGAAGCATCAATATGAGGAAAATAAAGACAACCAAACACACATAAATGACCGTAGGAGGGATGTTTATTATAAAGTTTATAGAATGGAGTGTCATTATTAATGGCGGTGGATGGAAGAATATTGAGAAGGTGAGCAGCCATATGGAGTGCTTCAGTCCAATAAGTGGGAGGAAGTCGAGCATTGAATAAAAGAGTGCGAATGACATCCATAAAATTCATGAAAATTTTTAAACTTTTCAAACATTCCAAAACCATCCATTGTTCACAAATTGTTTTCAGAATAGTTTAACATCAGAGAAATCCCAGAAATCATAACATAAAATGTG